TGCAATTGACTAATGGCAAATTTGTCAATGCCAATGGTGTTCAGGTGGTGCTCCAGTTGTTTTGGGATTGCACCCAAGGCGCCTATGACTATTGGTACTACCCTTGCTTGCTTTTGCCACAGTCTTTCTATTTCTATTTGTAGGCCTTTGTATTTTGTTATCTTCTCCAGTTCTTTCTCTTCTATTCTGCTATCTCCAGGCACTGCCACGTCCACTATCCAGACTTTTTTGTCTTTCTTATCGAAATTGTTAAGTCTGGGGTGTTATGTTGCAAGTGCTTGTCTGTTTGAATTCTGAAGTCCCAGAGCAGTTTAATTTTATCATTTTCTATGACGTTCTCTATTTTATGATCCCACCAGTTTTTGCTTACAGGCAAATGATATTTTTTGCAGATCTTCCAATGCACCATTGTTGCTACTTTGTCATGCCGCTGCTTGTAATCAGTCTGTGCAATCTTCTTGCAACAGCTTACCAAGTAGTCCACTGTTTCTTCAGCTTTATTATTATTATTATTATTATTATTATTATTATTATTATTATTATTATTATTATTATTATTATTATTATGGATCATCGCACAGTCAGCCAGATGTTCAGACTGGATTTGGCATTTTGTCTATCTATCAAGTCCTTACCCAGGACCTGGGATAGGCAGATGTGGATGTTTGATGGTATTACAGATATCGTCGCAGGATGGAAGCAGTTCCTAGTAAGGCCGCTTATTATTATTATTATTATTATTATTACCGATCATCGCACAGTCAGCCAGATGTTCAGACTGGATTTGGCATTTTGTCTACCTATCGAGTCCTTACCCAGGACCTGGGATAGGCAGATGTGGATGTTTGATGGTATTACAGATATCGTCGCAGGATGGAAGCAGTTCCTAATAAGGCCGCCTTTTGCAATTGACTAATAGCGAATTTGTCAATGCCAATTGTGTTCAAGTGGTGCTCCAGTTGTTTTGGGATTGCACCCAAGGAGCCTATGACTATTGGTACTACCCTTGCTTGCTTTTGCCACAGTCTTTCTATTTCTATTTGTAGGTCTTTGTATTTTGTTATCTTCTCCAGTTCTTTCTCTTCTATTCTGCTATCTCCAGGCACTGCCACATCCACTATCCAGACTTTTTTGTCTTTCTTATCGACAATTGTTAAGTCTGGGGTGTTATGTTGCAGGTGCTTGTCTGTTTGAATTCTGAAGTCCCAGAGCAGTTTAATTTTATCATTTTCTATGACTTTCTCTATTTTATGATCCCACCAGTTTTTGCTTACAGGCAAATGATATTTTTTGCAGATCTTCCAATGCACCATTGTTGCTACTTTGTCATGCCGCTGCTTGTAATCAGTTTGTGCAATCTTCTTGCAACAGCTTACCAAGTGGTCCACTGTTTCTTCAGCTTCTTTGCATAGGCGGCACTTACTGTCTGTTGCTGTCTTCTCAATTTTGACTTTGTATGCATTTGTCCTTAAGGCTTGGTCTTGTGCAGCCAGAATTAGTCCCTCGGTCTCTTTCTTCAATTTTCCTGCTCTTAGCCATTGCCAGGTTTTATTATTATCTGCTTTCCCAGCTATTTTTTTCATGTATTGGCCATGTAGTGCTTTGTCTTCCCATGCCTCTATTCTGTTCTTCATTTGGTCTTTCTTGTAGGCCAGTTTGGTCTCTCCAGTAGTCAGTAAGCCTTCCTGATATACTAATTTCAGTGCATCTTCATCATTGTTCTTCAGATATTCTTCCAAAGCCATTTTTTCTTCTTCAACCATCTGATGTACTTGTAGCATTCCACGCCCACCTATTTGCCTTGGTAGATAAAGTCTATCAATGTCACTGCGTGGATGAAGGGCATGATTCATTGTCATTATTTTTCTGGTCTGCCTATCCATTGCTTTTAGTTCTGCTTGAGTCCAGTCCACTATTCCAGCTGTGTACCTAATGACTGGGATTGCCCAGGTGTTGATTGCCTTTATGGTATTTCCTCCATTGAGTTTGGATTTTAAGATCTTCTTCACTCTCTTGATGTATTCACCTCTAATCTTTTTCTTGACTTCAGTGTGCTTGATGTTGTCAGCTTGAAGGATACCCAAGTATTTGTAGTACTCTTCCTCATCCAGACTCTTAATGTTATTTTCGTGGGGCATCTTGATTCCTTCAGTTTTCATTATTTTTCCTTGTTTGATAGTAAGTGTGGCACATTTGTCCAAGCCAAACTCCATTACAATATCTTGGCTATATATACGGACAGTGTTGAGCAGCGATTCTATTTCAGATGATGTTTTTCCATACAGCTTCAGATCATCCATATAAAGGAGGTGGGATAGTCTGGCAGATGTTTTTGATGTTTGATAGCCATGTCCTGAGTTATTCAGTATTGTTGACAGAGGAAACAGTGCAATAACAAATAGTAATGGTGATAATGAATCTCCTTGAAATATTCCTCTCTTGATATTAACCTCTCCCAGCTTCTCACCATTGATCTGCAACTGTGTCTTCCATTGTGCCATCGATCTTTGCACAAATTTTCTGATGTTTCTACTGACTCCTGTTATTTCTAGGCACTTGATTATCCAATCATGTGGCAGAGAGTCAAATGCCTTTTTGTAGTCAATCCATGCAACATTCAGGTTGGTCTTCCTTCTCTTGCAGTTTTCCAAGATCATTTTGTCTATTAGGAGTTGATCTTTTGTTCCTCTGCTATTGGGGCGGTTTCCTTTCTGCTCAGGTGGAAAGAGATTGTTTTCAACTAGATGCTGTTGCACTGCATCAGCTACTACACCAGTTAGTAATTTGAAAGTTGTTGGTAAGCAGGTAATTGGCCTGTAGTTACCTGGTGTTGCCCCTTTTGCTGGATTTTTCATTATTAGGTAGGTTTTCCCAGTTGTTAGCCACTTTTCAATTTCTCCTCCTTGTAGTATATTGTTGAACTGTTTGGCAATGAGTGGGTGTATAACAGTTAGATGTTTCAACCAAAACCCATGCAGTTCATCTTCACCTGGTGCTGACCAATTTTTGATTTTCTTTGCTCTTTTTTCTACCATTTTTGTTGTTATTACTAGTTCTTTCATTTCAACTTCTGTTTTATTTGCATCCACCTCTTTTAACCAAGCCGCATCCTTGTTGTATTTCTTTGGGTTATCCCATATCTGCTTCCAGAACTGCACTGTTTCTTCCTTGTCAGGTACTGACTGATTCCTTGCAGTTTCTCCATTGATGGATTGGTAGAAACGTTTCTGATTGGATTGAAATTGGAGGTTCTGCCTATAGTTTGCAATTCGAGCTTCATATCTACTGATTTTCCTGGCTATAGCTGTTATTTGTTGCTTTATTATTTCCAGTGCTTCCTTGATCTTCCTTGTTTCTAAGTGGTATTTCTTGATTAGGTATTCTTTGGTCTTCTTGTTCTTCAGCTTCTTTTCTTTCATCTGTTCTAGCTTGCTTGCATGTGATCTTAACTTGCTGATCTTATTTTCTAGTCTAACCTTCCATTTTTTCTGGTGCACTGTTTGTTTGTTTTTCTTCTTTGTTGATTTTGCATCCCAGGTATTCTGTTATAACTGCAGCTGTGCTGTACATTAGTTGGTTTGTTTCTTGCAGTGAATTGGTGCTTATACTTGATATTGCAGTATTTGCATCTTTTAATGCTTGTGCTAGCTGTTTCTTTGGAACAAGCTTCAATGCAGGCAGCCTTATTCTATTGTTTTTGTGCTGTTCTAGATGCTCAGTTATTCTTTGTTTCAATTCTTTTATTTCTTTAGTTAGAGGGTTTTGTTCTTCCTGAGGAAGAGGTGCCTGGTTTCCAAATGAGAACAGTTGTATATCTCTGCTGGATTCCTTCACTGCCAACTCCCCCTGGTTTGCCTCTACATTCTGAATTACTTCTGGTAAGGCTTTGATTTCTTTGCCCTGGGTAAACCTTTGCAGTTCGTCCAATTCTGTTTCTGTGAATACTTTATTTCGTGTTATAAATCGGCGTTGATCTGCTAGTCTCTGTTCTGTTATTTCTGATTCTGGATGTTGTTCTTTCCAGAACTGGTGCATTCGTTTTAGATATCCTCTTCTTGTTGGACTTGATCTGTAGTAACAGATCATTATTTCTTTGTTTTCCATCACTGTGTATCTGCGACGGGTAAACACCTTTTCTTCCAGTAGTTCTGCAGCTGCTGGCCCTGGTTGCTCAGCCAACAGTCCTGAGTCCTGTAACCCATTTTTCACCAGATATCCAGGAACTCCAATATCTAGCGCGGACCTTGTTAACCCGGGCGACGTCCGAGCCGGTATGGCATTCTGAAATTTACGTCTCACCATATTTTTTATGGGAGAGACACTCTTTGTCTGACTCCTCTGATGAGACCTGTCCAGTATGGTTGAACCTCTGGCATAGCTCTCATCTTCCTCAGAGTACACAAGCCCCACAACCACGTCAAGGTAGTGCCTCACTGGGGGTATTATTATTATTATTATTATTATTATTATTATTATTATTATTATTATTATTATTATTATTAAAGTCCAGGCTGTTGGAAAGCTCTGGGAACTGAAGGCCACCTTCCCTGGAGAACCTGAGATGGCTTCCCAAGGAATCTTGAGCCCTTTCCATCATTGGGGTTTGGCGGCGGGGTGGGGGGGTCTCTTGCATCTCCACAAGCTGCTCGTCCTAGGAAAACCGGGGCGCTGAACTGCTTGGGGCCTTTGCTGGCGCCCCACTCGCGTCCTGCGGACCCGATGCGACCAACCGCTGCTGTTGCGACGGACCACAACGGAGAGCCAACAACCTTTTCCCCCACACACACACACACCCTGTCCCTTCCCAAGCAGAGAAGAAGCAGGTGGGGAGAGGCGGCGGCGAGGATGGAGGCGCATGCGCCCTGGCCGCACTGCAGGGCTCGGCGAAGGCGCCGGGCTGGGGAGCGCGCCCGCGCGCCTCCCCCCCTCCCCCTGCACGCGCGCGCGCCGGACCCGCGCCGCGTGCCCGAGCCGAACCGCGCGCGCAGCCGAGGCGGCAGTCAGGAGCAGCTGCGAGAGGAGCCCCGGACGGGAGTTCGGCTGCTGCTGCTGCATCCTGACTCGGCAGCGGCGGGCGGGAGCATGCCAGCCGGGCGGGCGGGCAACGGCGGCGGCGGGAGCGCCGGCTCTTCTCCCTCCTGCAGCCGCGGCTGAGCCCAGCGCCGCCGCCGCCCCCGGCCCCAGCAGGCAGGTGATCGGCGCGGCGTGGCCCCGGCTCTGCCCCACGCGAGGCGGCGGGATCGGAGAGGGCAGCCCCGGGCGTGCAGGCAGGCATGCAAGCCGGCAGGCGCTTGGAAGGATGGGTGGGAAGGGGGCGCAGCCTGCTTTTGCGCTGCGCTGCGGCTGCGGGGGCGCCCGCCTTGGCCCCGCGGCTCGGGCTCCGGCCGGGCATCCCTGGAGCCCCGAGCGGGGAGCTTTCCGGAGGGGAAGGGGCGCTGGCTGGCGGGTGGGGGTGGCAGGCGCGCTTGCCTTGCACGAGTGGGCGACTGCTAAGCTTGGCAAGGACCTGCGTGTGGTTCTGGCGGGTGGGGGCGAGCAGAGTGGCAGAGGCGGGGGGGGGGGCGAAGGAGGATTCCAAGGAGAGAAGCGCGAGGGCATCTTTAGGATTGCTCCGCGCCCGGCAGCGCTCCCGGAGGCGTCTCCCTTTGGCCCGGCATCCGTGGCTCCCTGCTCCAATGGCCCCCACCCGGGCCTTAGGAGAGGAAGGGAGCGGCCTGGAGCATGTGCAGAGGGCCCGGCTGGCCGCTCGGGAGAGGGAGCGCGCGGTGGCCGGGTCGGGGATCATTGGCCCAGCGCAAGGCGGCCGCGATCCTGAGATGGGTTGGGAAGGGGGAAGGGATCGCGTCTGCCCACGGGGCTGTGATTTGGATCGCCCTCGCTCGCTCGCTCTGCCGCTTGGCAGATGCCTCGGCTTGTGTGGGGAGGAGACGGGAGCGCAAGAGGGAGCGGAGCCAAGAAATTAAAAATAACTTCCATGGGCGAAACATCCAGCGCTTCAGCCGCTGGGATCCTAAGAGGGTGAGTCGAGAAAAGCGAAAGTGGGAGTTAATCTGCGCTGGAGACCTTCGCCCCACAAAGGGATGGGTTTTGCCTACATCCAGTTGGGTCATTTTGGACCTCCCTCTTCCAGATGTGCTGTGGCACTGTCCCTCCTCCTGGGATTCCCAATGTTTTTGGAGGATCTCCCTCCCCCAACACCCACCACGGGAAAGGATGTTTTGGGTGGGTGCTTCTCAACCTGGGCAACTTGTAGATGTGTGGACTTCAACTCCCAGAATTCCCCAGCCAGCATGGATGCAGGCAAAACCCATGGCTGGGTGGGGAATTCTGGGAGTCAAACTCCACACATCTTCAAGTTGCTCTGATTGAAAAGCACTGCTTTGAGCCCTGAAGTGTGCTTTTTTTGGGGGGGTGGGGTAACCTGTAGCAAGCCAGCCCCACTGGGGGGGGGATGGGATGGGATGGGATGGCAGCCGCTCCATCTGTCTGTCACCTACCCCCAGTTCCTCCTTATGATGACATCACAGCATGGCTACCAACTTCACAAAACATGTTAGTCTACCGTAAATGCATTTGGGTAGCCTGTGGCTTATTGCCTGGGCAGACCAACATGCTTTTTGTTACGCTATTTTGTTAATCCAGATGTTAGGAGTTTGTGTGTTGTTGGAACCCAGCTCATCAGTAGACAGTTTTGCTCTTCCTGGGGTGCATTTTCTTCCCTCCCTTCACTGCAGACTCATTCTCTTGGGAAATTTGGTGCCAGGTTCTTGGGAAGCTGCTCACACTTGCTTGGGCAGCCAATTGAAGAACAACAATAATTAAGACAACAACAATTAAGAAAGAAAAGAAGGGAGACCACCTCGCCTAGTAATTTGAAAGACCTTCTTTGTTTCTAGGGGGCCTTGCAGCTTCCCACCATAGTCCTTCTCCAGTGCTGCCTGTGCCTAAACGCCCACATCAGTGGTTCTCCACCTGTGGGTCAGGACCCCATTTGGGGTCGAACGACCATTTCACGGGGGTCGCCAAACAACGCAGTCCACCATTTTTCCCCCCTTTTCCTTAGCTGTGCTACTCCCTTTTATTCTATTGGCTTTTGAAAGCCAATAGAATAGACTCTCTTGAATAGAGTCTAATTCTATTGGCTTTCAAAAGCCAATAGGAATTGTCCAGGCTGTCTCTGCCCTGCTGAGCCCGCCAAAAGTCCCATTCTGCAAACGGTGCTGCACCAGTTGAGTAGTCCTCGACTTACGACCGGGTGAGTAGTCCTCGACTTACGACCGGTTGGGGGTCGCGGCATTAAAAAAGTTGAGAACCACTGGCCCACATCTTCACACCAGTGGTGGTGGTGCTAGAACTATCTTGAGCTTGTTTCTTCCCTCCTGTATAAATTAGTTTGGCTCTCCTTCAAATGCACTTCTTCACTCCAAATTTCATTTTCCTGAATTTCCAGTCTTTTGCAGAAGAGAGGAAAGCGCGCGTCCCTTAATTTTAGGAAGTAACAGCTCTCAACTTCAGCTAAGGAGAACTTTCCGGAGGAACACGCGGGATCTCCTCAAGCTTGTACAAGGGAAGGGTTGCACACCCTCCATCTAAGGCTCCTACTTCAGAAAATGGATTTCTTTTATATTTTAAGAAAGAAAGTGGAATGGAATGGAATGGAATGGAATGGAATGGAATGGAATAGAATAGAATAGAATAGAATAGAATAGAATAGAATAGAATAGAATAGAATAGAATAGGAGTTGGAAGGGACCTTGGAGGTCATCTAGTCCAAGCCCTTGATCAGGCAGGAAACTCCATGCCATTTCAGACAAATGGTTGTCCAATCTCTTTTTAAAAACTTCCAGTGCATCCACAATTTCTGAAGGCAACCCATTCCATTGGTTAATTGTCCTCACTGTTAGGAAGTTTCTCCTTAATTCCAGGTTGCTTCTCTCTTTGGTCAGTTTCCAACCATTGTTTCTTGTCTTGACCTCTGGTGCTTTGGTGAGTAACATGACCCCCTCTTCCTTGTGGCAGCCCCTCAAATACTGGAAGACTGCTATCAAGTCTCCCCTATTTCTTCTTTTCTTTAGACTAGACATACCCAGTTCCTGCACACGGACATGCACACACACAAACCCTACTCATCTAGTGCATATTGCTTTCCCCATCACTATTGTGCAAACTAATCCCTACCCCCAATTAACATGATGAGAATAAATGCTCCTGTCGCTTCTCCATTGTTGGAAATCTCGTAGATGTTTTATCTGAACATAAAATTAATCCTTATGAATGTGATTTTTTTTAAAAAAAAAAAGATAGAGGAATTGGGCTAAAGGATTAAGTGTCCCTTCGATCAGAGTTACTGCTACTGCTCTGATCAAGCTGAGATTCCCCTCCTTCCCCCAAATCCTGTGAGTATCTTAAAGTATAGCAGAAGTACGGTTAAATATTAGTCATCTTGGTTTCCTCTGGGATCAGAAGTACGGCTGGCTGGAGAAATCCTCCTACTAGTCCTCATTCCATTGGATAAAATAGAATTGGCTTTAGAAATTCTCTCAAAGGAAAAGGGAGCCGGAGTGACGTTCTCCTGGGTGGAAAATGTTATTTGTGCACTTGCTTGGTGACTTAGTGGCCAACTGGGGTAAGTGGGTGGATTTGTGTGTGAAGGTTACACAATCTTCTCTGCAGTGGCCTGGAGCCTCCTGGGCGTTTCACATTTCCATCACTCTCTTCTCTTTCAGGCGGTTGCAAGAAACCTAGGCATTCGATGCAAAAACATAGGCATTTTTAATGTCTGAAAATAGATATTTTAATTTTATTAAAAAATAGCCATAGACTAGTACTGATGATGTTACCTGGTTGGGTAATGAAACGTTTGCAAGAAAACCACTAAGTTCAGAGAGCACCAAGGACCCCACAGCTCCTCCCCCTGCTCCTGCTCCTCTTCTGCACAAACCTCCCTCCCTTCTAGCATTGATGATGTTACCTAGTTTGGTAATGAAACATCTGCAAGAAAACCACCCAGCTCAGAGAGCACCAAAGACCCCTCATTTCAACTCTGAGCTACAAATATTATCTTTTATTGGTACATTGACTTTTATTGTCTGTCATGACTTTGATCAGTTGAAACTTTCAAAGAAAGGATGTTTTGGGTTTTTGTTTTTGTTTTTTTAGCAAGAGAGAAACTAGATTATTAGCTTTACTCAGGGCACATGCAATATTTCCTTCTAAGGCTAATGATATGATGTGGTCAGTCGGGACACGTTTTGGCCAGATGCCACAAAGGCATCTGGAGTTGGGCCTTACCCCATAGTGCAGGTCCAGGACATTAGTGGAGCATGATATGTATGTTTGTTTTGTGCTGCAAGGTAGTTTTGTGAGAAGATTCAGCCATTTTTAATTAGTTATTGCCTTATGGTTTTTATGTTCTGCTATTTTACGTCTCGGTTTTATTAGTTTTCTAGAATTATTTGCTTAAGCCAAACAGCCTTATGCATTCTGAAATAAATAAATGCAAAAGATGCTTTCGCTAGCCTGTGCAGGCTTGGGTCTGTAATCTAGAAGTTACTTTATGCACCAACGTACTGTTGCATGCAGCCTGCTAGCTCAGAACTAAAGGCAGTGTCTTCACACATACCTAAGCTACCTGCCTTTCCTCGCCTTCACTTGCAATCATGCAAATAAATGTTGCCCTTCAGAAACGGTTGGAGAATAGTTTCTCTTGTTCCCAGAAGAATTCCAATAAATTCTCGGCCCAGAAATTGGATGGAGAATTTTGTGAAGCTGTTCGTGTCTGGTTCTAATCAAAGTCATTAATTCCTCTGAAGATTGTATAAACCCTGGATCTCAGCAATAGCAGAGTGTGGACGCAACCGAGCGCTTGGTATATTGCATGATCTCTGTGTTAGAAATTGTAGAGAATATCCATAGCTCAGGTTGTGGATTTAGCCAGACTCTCAGAGCAGAGGTAGGCAACCTCGGCTCTTTTATGACTCGTGGACTTCAACTCCCAGAATTCCTGAGCCAGCCATGCTGAGAGGAAAGGGAGAGGTTTCCAAGCTGAGCCATGCTAGCTCAGGAATTCTGGGAGTTGAAGTCCACGAGTCATAAAAGAGCCAAGGTAGCCTACCCTGACCAGAAGATTGTCCTCTGAGTTTTGTTACCAAACTGGGTAACGTCTTCAGCAGGGTTTTTTGGAGTGAAATG